CAGCTTCAGTTTTCATTGCTCTTATCTGCTGTTAGTCGCCACGCAATTTTTGATCGTTTGGAAATGATAAACATTCTGCCACTCACACTCTCACATAGTGTTGGCACCATCTTTTACGCCCTCTTCTACCTTGAATGCGCTTCGCTATTGTGTTTTTAACACGCCTGCTTCAGTTTGCACGCGTTGCAGCGCTATGCAATATCCGGTGATCCATTGCATTTTTGCGTCCTCATTTCATCACGCAACACCATTGACCCGGTATCCATATGAACTACCGCTGAGAAGCAGATTTTTTGAGGTCAATTACAATGACGGACAGCCGGCTTTCGAACTTTGCACAAATCTGCTCTCGTGCAACTGACTAGGTTGTCGCCTCGTATCAGCCATAGCCCGAGTGCAAAAACAGTTCCTCACCGTGCCGTAACTGTTGTGAAAATAATGAATCCTGCAATGTAATTTTGGATTCAGTCAACTTGGGGACTGCATTGGCCATCCTTCAAAAGCAAGCCACTGAACGGAAGAGTGCCAATGACGCTTTACTTCTAGTGACTATGACCTGTGACTCTGTCATGTGTAGGCCGATTGCTTCACACGGAACATGGGCGGAAGCCATGGTCGGTCCACTTGAGCACCAAAGTGGCGACAGACTCTCTTGCAGATGTGGACAGCAAATGAGCGCACATTGCCAAGCAACGACTGCATATTGCCGGAGTAAATCGTCGTGTTTTATGTGTTATTTACAAGGTAGCATTTTACAAAAACGTTTCTTGATAACTCACTTAACTATGGCCAGAGTCAGTCAATAGCGACTAAAATTAGTCAAAAAACTCAATGAAGCAACGCAGTATAAGTGATATTGGAAATAGTTTATCTAAACACTTCGTCTAAACTATTGCGTGGTTACTGATAAGTCTCCAGCAGCCGGCGAGAGCGCAGCAACGGCCAATCTAAAGGCCCCATCTTCTACCCGATCTGGCTGATGCAGGGCTATGACACGCACTAACCATGTTTAATCTTTCGGTGTATTTCTTCATCTCTGTAGCTTTATTGTTGACTGACCACCTCCTGGTTTCATTCAACTAGATGCAGTATGCATACACAATACAAACAGTGACAGTTGGTTTGTGTGCTTAAGCGGAGCACAATCCCGAACGATTTGCCAGGGAGTCTGTGCCCCGGTGACTTAGTGATAGGCCTCAGCTGGTATCCCCCAAAGCTCTCAGACTCGAGTCGTAGTGCTACTATCTCCGTCTGATGAGATCAAGCAGTGCAACGTTTACTATCGGGCAACACGCAATTATCTGTTAGAGGACGAACTTCAGCGTTACATATTCGGCTAGTCATGAGTATGACTGCCTAGACAACAATGTTTATACACCATCAACCTGTCAATATCACTACGTAGCGGCTTGATCCCTGATCTTTGCAGTAAGGCTGGTCGTACCATTGCGTTTTAAATCCTTCCAGTAAGCTTATGTCATGTTATGACAAGCATTAAGAGCCTCTATCTCCTCTGTGTTGCGGCCAACTAGACAAATAGACCGATCGGCCACTTTGAACAATGGGTCGGTGATGGTAAGAAGTTATGTTATTGGCCTAATCCTGTAATAGTACTTGACATTTTAAAGGTGCAAAATCCGCAGTGCCGAGCACCAGCCTATTCAATGGCGCCTGCCTGGCATCTGCGTCCCCTCTGAATCGATCAATGTCGTCCGTGTACCCTTGATGTGACAGTCAGTCTTAACGAATTTTGTGTACCGAGTCATTCGTGGTAATTTCATCACATGGTCGACTATATGAGTGCTGCGCAGTTCTGACACGCCTCACTTATCGTGATGGATTTGGGGAAACGTTTCCCGTTGACAGATCCTCACACATTTAACCATTTGCGTCTTGGATTAATTTACCTATAAACTTTTCATTACTTTTATTTCATATAGTAGATTTTGGTTAGTAGTAAACATAGAAGAAAAGAACTTAATTTTTTATAAACATTTTGATGTTTATTTTTAAGGTACTACTTGTAAGTACCAACAGGAGCCTAGGTCATCAACATTGTCACCATGAAGGCTCAGTACTCAACGCGATATACTTGAAAGCAGTTCTTTTCATCATTGCGACAGGAAAGCATTACAGCAACAACATCTTGAATGTGCTTTAGACCGGATTTTCCAGATAGAACACATTTCACATCCTCCTGCAATAAACGTAGGCCATTGAGCGCCTACTTTATGCGTCCTGATGACTTTAGACACAGTATACGTGTCTTACCTTCGTTTTTGGTTCGTTTGATGATGACATCGTATTGGTTTAAGGACGACCTCTTTTTTACTGATCTGTTTCCAATAACCACAAGCCCCATCGGCAATTTCTTTGAAACTCCAGATGTGAGATGTCATGATGCATATCCTTATGTGCCACATCTACAGTGACATATACCAGCCCCATCATTGTAAAAAGCATTCTGTGTCACCATTTTCAACCATCCTCTCATAATCCTATGTTAAGCGCAGCATATCTGCTTTGTCCACTCCACCCATGGCCGAATTATAATCTTGTCCCATCTTAGGTGGTACTACGTCGCACATTGTTTTACTCCGCTTTTTACGCCACACAGTAATTAACTCACTTCCGTGATAAGTGAACAACATGTGAACCCACTTATTGTACTTCACTTGAAGAACACACTTCCTTGATCGGTAGAACGATAAGCAAAAGCACCTCTCTTTATCATCTTGAAGTCTCCTGTTGGGATGGACAGTTCCACAGGCAGAAATGTTGATATTCTGCAGATGCGCAAATAGTCCATTACCATAACCCCCTCTTTACAGAGTTGGGGTGAGTCTGTCCACAACACTTCCACCCACTACAAACTGGTCTTTTGAGAATTTGGTGTATCCTGTGATATACCTTGATACACTCATAAATGTGCTCACTCATATCAACTCGACACCATCTTTTATAACCGCATTTTACTGGCTTCATTGGGTTATACTGTTTTAGCGTTGAGCGACCTTTGAAGAGAACCATCCTCTGCACTGCATGTGATAATCGAATCATCCGATAATTGTGATTATCCCGAATGTGAGGTCTACTCTTAAACACTATTCAGTGTACCTTCTGGAACAGTATTATTGTCATTCAGGTGCAGATCTACATGAATTAAAGAATATCTCTCTCTACATAGTTCTTGTAACTACTGGTATTGCATTGTCTACCTCATTGGACCAGTATTGTTTTAAATGTGGTAAACGATGGTAACCAATCAAAATCATGACACGAAGAAATTGACTGAGAGGTTTGGTCAGGCTGGTGCGTGCCGCATTCTTGGATTGGAGTCTCTACATGTTCCACATCAGTAGTTAGAGGCCCTATCGGACGTAGTACAGTCACGCTTTCGGTGGCGTTTCTGCACTCGGTTTCTTGCATCTAGCTACTAAGATTCCATCCCGACTAATTTTGCTCTCGTTTTTTCCTAACGCCGTCTCATTTTCACCATCATTGTTTTGCATTATCTTGTTGGCACGGATCTTGACAACTGAAACCACCGCAATTCCATGCCCGGTTCATAGTTGTTTAGCTCAGCCGAACTCAGCTGCTCACTACCACTTTGCGCCTACTTAAACTTGGTACCCTAACGGCACTACTCATGTGTTCGCCGGTTGTCATTTTGTAACGGGATTCACTGCCCCTCGTCCCCTTTTAGGTTGAAACTCCTGTAGTATAGATATCTGTTTATACACTCTCGTGATTGTGGTGCGTTATTTTCCACTTATGCGTTCTAGTATGGGCACGTCGTTTCCTGCGAGACGACTCACTTCCACAGTTCATCTGGCTGACGTCCGACACATTGGTCTGGTTTACGACTACAATGTGCTTACCATTACTTTCTGCTGATCACACTTGTGCACTCTCTAACTCTTCGCCGATATTTGTTCGTGGGTGCTGGTGACCGAGCATTCTGCTCTAGCATGCTTCCTTCCCTCTGTGTTGTCCCTGCACACTGCCTCACACATTTTTGGTTATGTGGTGGATCGGACTCTAACGCGCACGCATGCACTAGGACAGACTCTCACTGGAATTTGGATCAAGTCACACTCGCTTCCGGATTCGGTCCGCGACGCGTAGTAAACAGATCGCCAGCAGCAGCAGCAGCAGCACCGCATTGTGTGTGACGGGCACACACATAATGTTCATTCGGTGCACAGCGTCACAAATGGGGCTGATTGATCAACCAATTGATTGCTCTATCGTCGTAGTGCATTGAATTCCGCATATTCACATTCGTACACACACATGTGCGCATCTTTGTAAGATCGAATTTTTGAGCGAGTGGTCGTCGCTTCTGTGAAGTGTCTCCGTCGTTCTCAGGTACTGGCGCATTTAGTAATCATTCGACATCGTTCACTACGCCTTTCTCACACACCGCACACTTATGGTGATGTCACGATACGCTCACACTCGGTTTCCTATAATCATCTATTCTGTCTACCGAAACCGGCCTCCTTCGGGAACCACTTAGCCTCCCAGTAACGGTTCCCTTCTTTCACGTGCTCATCAGCTGAATGTGTTCGCTCGGTTAGTTGACAGACGGAAACCACGATTGTAACTGTTGCGCGATTAGCTTACAATCCTTCACTCTATGCACCCTCTACAAGCCATTTCTGTTTCTGGTCGGTTTATTCCTGATTTTTTCAGTTTTAAATTTTGTACGCTTTTAATTTTCTGCTAACCTGAGATCCACGGAGTTCTCGATGGGGGTTGTGAATAAAATTAGGGTACCACCGTCAGCCTTCCAAAGTACTTTGTGTTTTTCCTATGTGTTCACACTAGACGCAGAAGAAGGCGAAATGAACTACTTTCCGTCCGCTGTCCCTGCTTACAGCTTTTATGCACTAATTTTTGTAATTGTTCGCATGGCCATCATTGTCTTCATTTACTTTGTGTGCGCTGTTCTTGTCATCCCGTATTACCTTAAAACCGGATTTTTCGTCCTGTAGTTTTGGCGTTTACGGGACGGATACCGTCTGTCGGAGTTGAGCGCGCATTCCACTTGGGTGACGTCAGTTCGGCTGCTTCCATCGTCGATCGGCCATCTCGCAGACTCAACCGACCACGACTTCAGACAGGTGCATATCAACAATCTGCCTATTTGCGTGCTCACAGCCTCCGCAAACGGAGTGATCAAACGCTGGGACGTCGGCGCTGCTTGTCTCCCCTCTCCTACCACTCCATTGTCACTGGGACCGGTATGGCCATGTAACAGTACCACTCCTACGCCCTCTGCGCGACACTCGTCCATCGAGTCCAACATGCCATCCATGGAGTCAACAGCCTTGCATGGTCTATGGACTGGTGTGTTCTCCGTCTGGTTCGATCCGCATGGCGCTCTTATGGTAGTTGGACGCCGGCGTCATTCTCCCGATCTACAGGTATACGCCAATGCGAGTTCACTTTACAAGACTTCTCATTTACATTCGGTTATCATATTTTTACGCTCTGTGCCCTGATTTTGGCGATGGAAATCATTGTGTCTAATTGTCATCAAGTTGCTCCAAGATCCGACTCCTTTCCTGTGTTGTTTTGGGGTCGATTTGAACCCCATTTACTCCTGAGTCCTCTAACACAGGATCTCTGCCCGTCCTACACTCACGCGGCGTCTAAGCGTTACCGTGTTGCTGCACTCATCAGCGTCGGTACACACTGAACCGACACTTTTTGAACCTGGTTTTCCTTGTTCACTAACTGTAGAGCGAACGTAGACTGGCTTTGTCCGGTAAACAGAAAACTACTTTACTAACTCATCGACTCATCCAACTCTGCTTACACCACCACCCGGCTGTGCTGTGCTTATTCTTATTTTTGGCCCTCATGTGCCTTAACGCTTCTGCATTGCGTCGATCACCCGCTGATATATATATATATATATATATATATATATATATATATATATATATATATATATATATATATATATATATATATATACTGATGCATCGAAAACCATGAGGAATAACATAGAAAAGTACGAATATCAGGATCATGTAACAAATATATTTTGGCATTTTGTTTTTTGATGTTCTTTTTGGCATTTTAAATGGTATAATTCGAATCACCTTTTTCAAAACATTCCATTGATTCCGGTTTCGCACCATATCGCCAAGTGTGTCAAGCCATTTGCCGTCCCCCATCCTTGTGCCCCAACCAGGAAGACGTACTGGGCCGACGATTGCGAGACAGGAGGTCAGCGATTTCATGGTTTGCCGCCAAGTGATTGGCTGACCTTCACGCGTTCATTTTCAATTCAATACAGTTCGTGCACATAAGGCGCAACGTGGTAAGCGCTCGCATGACATACGTAAACGTGGCCAAGCCACCTCAATTGACGCATTGCGATAAGGCGATGAAGCGGAGGGCTCATGTTTCCCAAGACGCGATACCGGACTTCCTCGTTGCGAACCCGATGCTGCCACCGCATACAGGCTATCTGCCGCAAACATGTGTTGTCGAATGCCGAACGCCAACTCATGTCGTCCACATGAATCGGCCAGGACTCACTTCTATATAACAGGACCGCGGGGACACAAGCGTTGCAGATCGTCCGCTTTAAGCAGAGGGATGTGTCCCGAGGACGCCAAAAATGACAGCTTGGTAACTGCCCACCGGCCTCTTGCGTTGCAAAGAGATGCCACTTTTCCAATAGTGCCATCAGCAGAAATACAGCTTTCGAGGTAGAAAAAGTTGTCCACAAGCTCGAGCTGTGTTCCTTCAATGGTAAGCGAGGGAACAGACGATTTCCAGTCCTGGAGTAGCACTTTACGCTTCAAGGGGGAAAACCGCGTATCACACTTAGACGCTTTAATCGCCAAACGATTCAAACTGAGTTGTACACTTTGTGAATCGTCACCGAGCAGAGCGATATCATCAGCATAATCTAAGTCGGTCACGCGTTTGCCTGGAAGAAGCTCAACATCAAGATTTTGAGGGCCTTCCAGTGATCTCAACAGACGTCCTCAATTGCAGATTTGAAGAGAATTGGAGACAAATGGCGCCCTTTGCGCACACTACTAGTGATAGGAAATTTTGCCATAAACCCTCGCTTCACCTGACATTTGGAAGTAAGGCGTCCGAATGATGGAAGTGTACTTTCGGGGAACTGCATTTCTTAGCTGACATAAAGCAGGCGGAACAACCGAGTCAAATGCGACTTGGATGTCCAGAAAAACGACAATGGTTAGCTGGTGGTAGAGATGGCGGTGTTCAAGGATTTGGCGTAGCTTGAAGATCTGGTCCACACATCCTCTACCAAGACGAAGGCCAGCTTATTCTTCTCGGTAAAACGACTCGCGGATCGTGATAGTCTGCGGAGCAGAATGGATGCCAGCAATTTCGAAATAACCGGTATGAGACAGATTCTCCCACGATTAGCACAGGGTGTGCGAGCACCTTGCTTGAAGATATGGACGATTACTGACTCATCTCAGGAGGATGAAATGTACTCTTCGTGCCATATCTTGGAAAACAGCGCTGTCAACTGCTTGATAAGTGTTGGGCCGCCAAACTTGAACATCTCCGGAGGCAGTTTGTCTGAGCCGGGAGACTTGAATCTCTTAAGCTATCGAATCTGGACGAAAACTTCCGCTTCATTTGGTGGTTCCAATGAAATGGTCCAGGGCATGCAATTCGGTCTACTTGGCATATTAGCGGACAATGGATGGCGAGTGAATTGAGAGTGAAAATGGTCGGCCTAACCCTGCACGCGTCTTCGCAGATTAGGGATTCGTGACACATCCGCTTCACAGATAGCCTGGCTGACACCAGGCCTTATAGGGCAGGTGAACCTAATGAGCTGAAAAAGCTTGCGTAAATTGCCGGAGAGAGCCGCAGTCTCTATCTCCGAGGCGCGCTGAAACCGCCTAGTCTCGCGGTCAACACGCAAGCCTTGCCTGAGTTGTCGGTTGAGAGTCCAGCGCATAGGACTATGAGCTAACTCTGGTGGCACATTTCGACGATGGTCAAACAGTTCCAGCGAGCGAGCGAGCGGATATCCCATTTTTAAAAGAGTGTTGGATGAGACCACAAAGCGATTGGCCAGAGGAAAGCATCGCTTCGTGCGAACAAGCCCAGTGTTGTTCAACATCCTAGGGTGTACTACAGTTGAGAGCACCCCATAGTGCAGCTTGATAGTTCAGTTGGACAGATGGGTCAACTAACCTGTTTGCTTCAATCTTACGGTGCGGTTGCTTCCGGGGCCCACTGAAGCGCATGCAGATGTTCGCACAAACCGGCGCGTGATCTGAATGGAGGTATGTTGACCAGAATGACCTGAAGTCTTGTATACTACCTCACCAACGGGAACTGTTTACGATGTGGTCGATCTAGGAACAGAACTGTTTTGACGTCGGAGAACGCCAGGTTGAGAAATGCCTCTTGTTATGCCTGAAATTGGTGCTGGAGTGGAACAGATGGTTGTCCTCGCACAAGGTGAAGTCAGTCCCCATTATCTGTGCGTCTCTCGTTAAGCGCATGCTGACCTCCAAGATGGCGTTCAAACGGAAGCAGGCGACTGACCCGTAGATTAAACTCACCAGTAAGTATAACAGCATCTGACTTGTCCACTTTACCCAGAAGAAGGTGAAGTTCGCGGTAAAAATCATCTTTGACAGAGTCGCTGCTGCAGTCATTTGGGGCGTAGGCAGAAACGGCAAACAAGTTACGTGTTTCTTTGCGGTGTCTGTTGATACGATATGATCCCTTAAGCTGAATTGCGCAATGCCGACTGGTAACCGGTCTAGCAAGGCAGCTTCGGCTTACTTAGCGCTATCCCAACGCCAGCCAAACCTACTGCAGCTACTTCTGTGTCAGTGGATAGACGCAGTTGGTATATGCTTCCGCGATCAGAAAAGGACGTCAGCCTGAGTACATTGCTGGAATCCTGCAACCGGGTTTCGGAAACGCAACAAACGTCAGTGGTGATAGACTTCAAGGTGCGGACCAGCCCGGCCTGTTGATCAATCTGCAAAAGCAGATTGAAGCAGGCCAATCGAAACATCGATCGAGATTGAACTATGACTGTCGATTGAGCATTTCGAATGTCGGCAGAACCGGGATCGGAGGAAAAATAAACCGAGGTAGGATTGATAACAAATGAAGTGTTGACGTGTGATGGAAATTGGCGAACCGCAAAAGCAGCAGCAGCAGCAGTGGAAGTGTGAAAGGAAGGTAAATCCATAGATTGATAGCATCGACTCAGTTTAGGCAGCTACCGCTGCGCTCGTTGGCCGGTCGCACATTGTTGTTTCAATCTCGTGAAGCGAGCTGCTTACATCCGCTTGTGCCAAGTGAACTTAGTCACGGTAGTTCCTTTGATCAACAAATTAGACTGAGTAAAAAACATTGGTTGGGATACCTATCACTGAGGACTTTGTCTGCATTGTCTGTAAGACTGTTAGCGGATCTATCGTTTACCTGGTAGGCTTGGAGTTGAGCTGTCTGACCATTAGCTCGTACACCGTTGTTCCGTCTCATCGTCTAAACGGGAGTCTGCGTGCTCCGCTTTGTGTTTGGATTGAGACCCTACATAGTTAATCCCAGCTTCACATCTACGGCCGTGCCCTACTCGGACTACACGTTTAGGTGTGTTAGTGCTTAGTCATTCGTGGAGTGAAGTTCCGATGTTACTTTGTCCTAAATGATAATAAATAATGTGTCAGCTGTACGCCGTAACGGCGCTTCGCTGCCGCGCGACCACCACCAGTCGCGCGCGAGCTGAGTATACGGCGAGGACGCCCACCCCTACGCGGATTCGAACCGGTGCCATTATGATTGCAAACCAAACGTGCAGACCACTCTGCCACCGGCCGACTGTTTGCGACCGTGCTAGGTTGATGCTGTGCTTCTGAATAGTTGCCTTGGGCGTCTACATTTTTGCATGGACTCTCTCTTTATTCTTAACTGGCGGGATCGGTTTCCATGGTTTGTGGCTGCGGGGGCATCGAAACCTCTGTACCTGTGGCTCATGTTCCGCTGCTATTGATGGTCAGGATTTTTACACGTAGCCGCGTTAGCCGTTCTAAACAAGTACAGGTGAATTGCTCTCCTTCCTTTGAAGTTTTCTGGGTAGATTTCAGCTAGAAAAAAATCCCCGTGACACTTCATATAAACAATAGCCCACATGGCCATTTCAGTATGTGCCAGTAAGCTACGTTTACGGATGCTTGCCACCATAACTTCCACCTCTCAGTACCTCGGACTTTGTATGGCATTATGCGCATGACCTGGACCAAGGACACTTACCTCTGTCGTCCTGGAATGATGTATCGCTTTTATCGATTCCCACGCGGGAATTGACGCCTGTGGGAATTGGATTCATAACCTTGCGGACTGAACCAAGTTATCTGGGTTATATGCGATCGAATAATGCCACAACCATGACTTGCGTTAGCCGTTCACAAATCCACACTCCAATCTGAAATGCTACATACATTTGCCGTTCCCCCTTTCCACCCATGAATCCGGTTTTTCTGTTGATCTCTGCACTTTACCTATACGTATTACTGTGCCACGTCCTACCATTGAAATTGCGGAAACATTGTAGCACTAATAATTGCAATAACTGTGGCGCATTTGCAACTCTCTTATTGTGTGCGTTGCTCTTACCTTTTAAAGCATATTGAATTGGTATGTCTAACTCGGCGTTCTTCATTCGTATTTCACTGAAATACGGTATTTGAGTTCCGTTAATTTGTTTTTAATTTTTATCCACGCTTCCCTTTTTCCATTAAATATTGGACGTCAGCAGGGTACAGAATCTGGAGGATAGAGTTGATGTTTTGTCTTGTGAGTGGTTAGAAGTCGCTCCGCTGGGAAACCCATTTGGGAATATACGCAGGTGGTGCAGTCACTGTTTGCGTTTCAGGTAATACTAACCCGTCGGTAAACGTCTAACCCTATCTTACTTGTCTGCGTCTGAATACATCATTCATCATCAAACACCTTAGCTAGAGGTGGGAAACACCTCCGTTACTGTGCCGCAATACATGAGAAAAGAAAAAACACAGCAGGGGTACGCCAGCTGAGCTACCAGTAACGGATGAGCATTGTTTCGCATAGCTACCAGCCGCCTACGATGCAGCAAAAAGCGTCTATTAGGCAAAATTTGTATTATGCTAGGAAATGATATCAAAATTGGGGCGGGGGGCTCAGAGAGATGGGGAGGGACAATGAAACTCACAACACGAACGTCACTGAGGTCCGCTGGCTACATGTTAACAAGTGTATCTAGCCACACGTGTTCACTGTCTTTCGGACCCCAAACCCGGAGCCGCGAAGGCCCAACTGCGGCCAGCGTCGAAGTAAGGGCCTTCATTGCTTTCGACCAAGTCATCACTTGACCACCCCTCGTCTTATTCCATCCATATTCCTGGCGCGCATAAAACGTACATCTCGGAAATCGGTGGGCTGGCATGCGTCTGTATACATGATTACCGCTTTTTACCATCATACTGAATACTGTATTGTGGGAGCGAGTAGAAATTTGAATCTGTACAACTCCATCGATGTATGATCTGAAAGCTTAACAAATCAAACTATGACTCGTCAATACGCTGATCGTTATTTGCGTTCTCACGTTATATGGTTAAAAAACCGTTTGACTCACAGTAGATTAGCACTCAAAAATGCTAGATGTCTATGGATAATCGTTTTCGGAATCTAATATTTGCGAAATACACCTCCAATGATCGTTTGGATAGTGGCACTGAGTTCACTTTCACTATACGTTCCGCCATACCGTTCATGACGTTTAACACCCGCTGTTCCAAACACAGGGGATGGGGAACTCGTCTAATATCTGGAACCACATGCTGGTATTGGTGTCCGCCGGTGCTGCAAAGCGGTCGCAAACAGAAGTGGCCTTATTGAAATCATTTTCATCCGCTTTTTCGTGCTCTTGCTTTTACGGTTTTATCTTATCTGCCCTCTACGGACTTGGAGCACCACCAGCACGTCGGGCATTTTTTGTGCTGCTCTCAGGTGAGCTGTGACGGAACGTTGCACACTTTATCAGGCCCTTCATACCTACAGTATACATATTTCTGCAACGGGAATGGGTCGAAACACTCCCGGTTATCATGATTCTTAGGAAGGTGCGTTTCCTTGAACGCAGCTCATAGAACCTCCCAACCGGAGATCAAAACAAACATTTTCCCCAAAGACCGGAACAACCTGATGCCAAATGTTCCAAACTAGCTGACGAGCTGACATCTAATGGTCAAACAGAAACCGATAATAAACACACCGATCAGTACATCAGTGTAGACCTGGTTGGTGTTTCATTGGACAGTCCACCGAACCCACGCACTCCCCGGTGCACAGTACTGTTGCTGATACACCTCCTCTGTGAAACCGCAAGGTAACTGGTCACCGATTACATGGTGGAAGGTAAGAAATTGTCCTGGAACTTGTGATGGCTGATACGAGCTTGTTTCTATCTTGCAATCTTCTGTAACAGCTGAAGCGGCGGGTAACTGATCTCTATCCCGTGCGGCTCAGCCTCAACTTCAATGGATACACTCGCACACTCGTTTCTCGCTTCTAACATCTCTGTCTGTCATTGATGTCCTCTTTATATTTTCCTGACTTCTTTCCCTCAAATGTTTCCCCAATAGTTTGCCCAAGGCTCCTTCGTCGTTGTTATTTTCTTGCTGTTATCATGTTGGAAATGGTCAGCTGAATCCCACTCCAATCGCACTTGACGAACTGAATTGAATCGCACCTTTTTCGTCTTTCATAATCTTTCTTTTCGTCATATATAGTTCTTATTCCGGCCGGAACAAGGCAGCAGTGGCATTACCGAGGCCATATCGGGTGGCAGCACACTTACTTTCCAAGAGGTCACAATCAAGCCATCACAGCCATTCTACTGGAAGCATTCACAGCGGTCCTCCATTCCAATGTCTCCACCAGAGCACGGCGACCCTGCCACCCCAAAAGCAGAGGACCAGCGTGATATTACAGCATCTGCAGCTATCTGCGCATCACCTCCCGCGACTCGAACGCGTCCACCCCTGGCTCCGAGCAAACATTGGATAGTGACTACCGGTTTGGCCGGTGCAATGGGCGGCAAAGCTACTGCTGTCAGTTTTTGGCCCAATGGCCTCTGGGTTGCCGTGGGCTTCAGCACCGGGCTTGTACAGGTATGCCTCCTCTTTGTTGTGTATTCCGTCATGTATATGCACACGTGACTTAGATCTTTTCATCACACAATGAGATGCGGTCATCGGTATCTTCATTGCAGGTGTTCTCACTGCATTTCGACCGAGCACGTTTGTTCGGAGTCGTCAAACGTTATTGCCTGGTTGACAGTCGACCATCCACTGGGCAGCACGCGTCGGCACCAAACCGACTGGCCAAATCTTTGGATCGTGTAGTCCATCTCCACACATGGCAGTCGCTTTCAGCAGATGGTGATTACCTCTCCTTAGTTGTGGTCGCCGTGTTCGCTAATGGCTCTGTTCGAGTAAGTCTAGAACTCGCGTATTTGTACTTGTCGGTTGTTGTTACTGAGATCCCTGGCCGTGAGACCCTCAGATTTGGCAGAACTTTATGCGAGGTGTTGGACGGCTGCTTCTGTCATAGTTCGTCACATGCGGTTCATACTCCATCGTTTGTGAGCTTTATTCAGTGAACTTTGTTTGTTTGTTTATGATTATTGGCTGCTGGACCTCATTACTGATGATGATTTGTGCGATGCATCTTTGCCAGTGTTGTCGGTGAGTTTAACCGTCGCTCTGGGGAGATGATTTGCTGGTATTGCCTAAGTTGAGGACTGTCCAAATACCCTACTTTATCCATTACAAATGTGTCATCCTTGAGCTCAGCCTTAACTGGTTCTCTGACTGTTTAAGGTCAAAAAATTGTAAATATTGCTTGCGGATTTACCTGTTACGGCGACTGCATTTCAATTTGTCTCTGTGTTTTGTTGACGCAGTATTCAAGTGTTCGCTAACAGTTTGGTGCGTCGTCTGCCAACTCACAGTATGTTTTCGATAAGTGTACTCTTTGTTCGGTTGTGCTCAAGACATCGGTGTGCTTTGCAGCCACGTGCTCTACTTTGAAACTCGTTCCCACAAATGGATAGGCATAGTTGCTGACGTTTCGGTCCCGTTGGCCTTTCTCATGTTAAATCAGAGGGTATGGCAAAGAATTTTTTGTCGTTTTGGGATTAGGAGATTATTCTACCTCAGCTTTGGCTTCGTTGGAATCATTTCGGCTGTCAGGCTGAGGTCTTCGACTGATATTGCTCGACTCGTCCTTTCGGTATCGCAGACGTGGATTATTGCCATAGAGGCCAAACAATACATACAGTGCGTGCCTTCGCTATGTCCAATGAGGTCTAGATCCTCAGGACCGCCTGTGCCATTGTGTCAACGAGTACAACAGCTAAACTTCACCCCCCTGTGATCACACTGTGTGCGCCGATCTGAGACTTGTGTGCTTTGAGCAGAATCACTCATTCGTTGTCTGTGTACGTTTCGCTGTGTAGCTTTCGCTGACACTCTAGTTCTCTGTTCAGGTGGTTGTGAACCATGGATGCGTCTGTTCGTATTCTTACCTGAGGTCTAGTATTGTCACCTGGGGAGCCAAAGACTATTCGGTTACGCAGCCAGTGCGGTTTGATGGGGCAGCATTCTGCTGTATCAAATGAGGTGTCCTACAAATCGTGGCGTGTTTTGTTTTCGGTAACAGCACTCAGTTGGTTAACTTATATCCTCACCTTAGTTTTTGGATCATGTAATGCTTTCAGGACACCGAATTAGTGGTGGTACCGCAGTTTCTTCCGGTGGACTGTTATCACCTGTTTACCCGTAACTACGAGTACTACTACGCTTTTCATTCATCAAACAATTTCTTGGTGCTCGGACCACTGCAGAGGATAATCAACGGTGCCCTATCTGCTGCATCGATCAGGGTGGATAGGGGTTTGGATGCTACTGCTCAAGCCTTCCTGTCTTCTTGTTCCCCCTCTTACGCTTTTTCACTCTTACCGTCCCGTTCCAACTTCACTTATATCCCCCTGTTTTCAATCCGCCCATTCTTGGCTCTCCCCCAACATGCTTTGCTAGGCATTTATCTTCTAATTTCAACTCACACGTGAACGCGGAGCGTCACTCCTCTCCTGTCGACAAGCCCATGTCCAACCAAGCGGTCCATTCCAGTTCATCGGCTTCCATTTGGAGCCCTCGATCCTCCTTCAGATTGGTATGTCTCATTGTACGCACATTGCTTCAGATCAGTCAACAGGCAGTACTTTCCTGAACATTAGAGACCCTCTCGATCGATATCTGCTGCTTATCAGAGACCCGCCTGCAAGACTCCAGCTCTGTGCTCACTCTGCGATCCCCTTCAGGTGACACCAGCGCGTATCCCGTGACGTTGCAGCTTCGAGCACCGGCCAATCTGGTGTTGGTATTGCCCTGAGTCCCCGGGCTGAAGCTGCTCTGGTTGATTGGATTCCAATCAGTAGCCGGTTGTGTGCGGTCCGATTGGCTGGCTCGTTCAAAGCTTCGAAGTCGCGCGGGACTAATAGGTGTCTATTCATCATCGCTGCCTACGCACCCACAAACTGTAGCGATGACTCAGTAAAGAACGACTTTTACCGCCAACTGACCCAGCGCCTTCACCACAGAAGCACGGACACTGTTGTGCTGGCTTGGGATCTGAACGCGAAAGTTGGAAATTGTCCACTGATGAATTGCATCTGGGCGGTCAGCACGGTGTAGGCTCCTGTAATGATGACAGTGAGCGGTTACTTCATTTGTGTGAAGATACCCGCTTATTTCTTGCGAGCACTAACTTCCGACACAGCACGCGCCGGAGGGTGACTTGGCGCTCACCAGCCTTGGACGCAAATGGATCACATTGCTATCAGTTACCGCTGGAGAGGCTGCATCCAGAATTGTCGCTCGATTTGGAGCACATGTGTGGACCTCGATCATGCACTTGTATGTGCTGAACTGCGGATGCGTTTTGGCGGACGCCCACGATGACGCTGTGAGCGCATTGACACCAGCCAACTGACAAAGCCAGCTTTTCTGAATGCGTATGGAAGTACGCTGACATGCGAGTTGAGTAAGCGCTCACTGGAGACAATTGATAGTCACTGATCACATGTTCACCAGACCTTACTAGCAACAGCCAAGTCCTCATGTGGTATGTCTGATAGCCAACATAGATATTGGGTCTCTTCGCGGTCTCTGGAACTTATCGATGCTCGCCGGTATATTCCGGCTGGAAGCGAACACAATGAAACTCGCAATGAGTTCCGGGCAAGACTCCGATCTAGCCTGAAGAGAGACCGCGAATCTTGGTGGTCACATCGTGCGTCAGAGATAGAAGTGGCCGCTGCCCTTGGCAACCATCGTAAGTTATTCCGGCTAAAACAGAAACGGGCAGCAGGAGACCTGGTGTTAGTGAAACAATTTATGATGAGAGTGGACAGCCTATCCACAATTTGTCAAAACGTCTGGAGCGTTGGGCTGAATATTTTGGAAAGAAATTTAATCGGCTAGAATTGTTCGATTCTTCGCCGGACAGTGATCGCCCTGCTCCGTTGGCTGTCCCTTTGGATCCGCCTTCTCGCTCAGAAGTCGAACGTGAGATCGGACTGTAGAAGTTGAACAAAGCCGCGGGACCAGATGATCTTCCTCCAACCCTCCTCAAATTTGGAGGCTCTACTCTTGTTGGTGCTTTACATGAATTACTAGTGAAACTGTGGGACCAGGAGACTGTTCCAAAGAGGCTCGCGTTCGGAATGCGGCAACCATAGAGGAATCAGTCTGATCTCCATTGCCTCCCAATTACTCGCCTCCATAATTATTCACAGACTGACGCGCTCGTGAAAGCCAGATTCGTGGGGAGCAAGCCGGGTTTCGTCGGGGTCGTGGCTGCATTGACCACATCTTCACCTTGCGTCAGTTGTTGAAGCACCGTCACACATATTGGTGGCCCACCGTAGTCGTGTTCCTCGACATCAAATGTGCCTTCGATTCGGTTGATCGATGTGCCCTTTGAAATTGTCTACTCAGGAAAGGTGTGCCCGAGAAATATGTAAATATTATCCGAGTATTATAAGCGCGTAGCACGGGCAGAGTGAGGGCTTACGGCAAGCTGTCGCCACCCTTCAATATCTCCAGCGGTGTGAGACAAGGATGCCCGCTGTCATCTTTCCTCTTCAACTTCGCTATTGACGAAGTCATGGGGATTGCATTTACAGGACATGACTTGAAAGGTGTGAAGCTACACCCAGTAGAGCGACTTCTTGACTTAGAGTATGCTGATGATATTGCCCTCATCTGTGACAGCTCCCAGACGTGTCAAGCAGCGCTGGACAGATTAGCACTGGTTGTCAGCCGCTTCGGGCTTTGCTCTGCACTATCGAAATGCAAAGCGTTCCTCCAAGAGTGGCAGAGATCGCCTCCTGCGCTTACCCTTGGTGAGAATCAGCTAAAGTCGTTCGGAAATTCAACTACCTAGGAAGTTGTATCAGCGCCCTTGGAATTGAAGAAGAGATCACGAACCGCATAGCAGAAGCTCGAAGTGCTTTTGCTAACCTTCACCACCTATGGTGGCGGCGCGACATTACTCTCGCCCTGAAGGGTAGAGTGTACAATGCAGCGGTACGTTCGACCCTATTGTACGGTTGCGAAACCTGGCCCCTAACATCGGCGGACATGAAGAGGCAAGTTACGTTCGACCATCGGTGCCTTTGCAGTTTGGTTCGCGTCCGGTGGGAACACCGCGTGAGCAACGAGCTTGTTGGACACCTTGTTTCCGGCACAGCAAACGGAACTGAACCGCCGTCATTTCACGCACCAGGCTCCGATGGCTGGGCCACGTGTTGCGCATGCCAGACCACCGGCTTCCACGACGTGCGTTGTTTGCTCACCGGGGATGTGGTGGAAGAAGAGGAGGGGTGGCCAAGCGATGACTTGCTCGAGAGGAATGAAGGCCCTCACTTCGGACCTGGCCTCGGTTGGAACATCACGGCTCCCTGCTTGGGATCCAACAGACGGTGAACACGTTTGGCTGGATACACTTGCTGACATGGCAAGGATCCGACCTCAGTGGCGTTCGTGCCGTGAGTTTCTTTGTCGCTTCCCATCCCTTTTGACCTCCCCCTCCACGTACGATCTCATTTCGTAGCGTAAAACACAATACTTTTTCTTTTTGCCTAGTAGCCGGCTGTTAGCTTACTGGAACGATGCCTATCCGTTGCTGATAGCTCAGCTGGCATGCAACTGTTGTATTTATTTTTCTTTTCCTTTAAGTATTGCGGCACAGTAGCTGAGGTGTTCCCCACCTCTAGCTGACGGGTATAGTGATGATGATGACTACGCTTTTCCTGTTAACAACGAAAACGTTCACGAGCGCACACTTTGCATGCTATCGTTTCATACGTTTCAGCGTCGACATGTTGCGGGAAGGATTATGCCCTTGCCTTGTAATTCGCAGGTTTCGTGCCGCCTAGATGCAGGAGGCCTCGCGGCAGACTCAGCCTACGCGCGACTGGTAAGGTTTGTATGGTAGCGAAGCGTCGGTACGGTATGCCGTCGTACTTCTGATGCCTTTACGTCTCACCGACTCTACTTTCCACCAGGCTGCCTTGCTCACGTCATATTAAAAACAAATTCGAAACAACTCGTGTTCCACGGTAAAACTCGGATGTTCCCGCCAGCTTTCACTCTTTCTGCCGATCAACCAAAAACAGTCCTGGTTGTCTGTCGCTCTAGCTTATTGGAGTGTGCGTACTGAACTTTCTGCTGTGGTATTCATCTTCCTGCTCTATATCACAGCTGCTATACCCATGGCATCGTATGGTATTTTGTGACGCATCGCAGTATCACCGTGGGTTGCGTGCTCAACTTCTATGCCCCACTGAAATAATGTCGAGGTCCAATGCGCACCCATTTGTGTATTATCACTTCGCCCCAGTTGCACGAAAGTTTGGGTGGCTGTAGTGGGTCTTTCCGAACAAAGGTCATGTTCACTGCATCCCTCTGACACAACAAGTCATAAGTCATCTTCCTTAGATTGGCACCGGTACACAGGTTCCTCTACCGCTAACCTTTTGTGTCGCCTGCTGCTGTTACTGCTGGTGCAACGAACGCCTTCGTGGTGTACTGCGTGCCCCATCAACAGTCACTCAAACAACCTAGGCTCTACGATATTCTCTTGTTAACGCATAGTACCAATTTCATTCGGGTTGAAAATTCGTCAACTTGCTGTAAACCAAGCTTAGCCGTATAGATATTCTTCGAGGGATTCTTGCTTTCTTTGTCGAAAGCGATCTCTCAAGCTCGCTCTCTTGTGCATTCGTCAGTACTCCTTCCAAACTCTACACTGGAATGCGACCTCTCCCGTGAACATTCTGCGGTGCACTGTCTTGACTATATCAAGTCCCTGTAGTGGGAGAATGCAGCTCAGCTACCGGGATTAATTTTCGCTCCCAGATCCTCCTTCTTGAGGATGTGAACTATACACCAACACTGGACCGACCTTTTGGTCAACGACCTAACCATGGATTACATCAATGGGGAAGTCTACTCACAGTCATGCTTCCTGTTCGTCAACGATAACTGTTGCGAAGTGGACATTTTGTCCCCACCCTATGACATATTCGTTCTTGTGTTAAATGTTACTTCCGTCCATCCACTCCACAGCGGTTCTGGTTGACAGCATACTGTTTATTTATGTATCCGGACGTATCTTAAGTGTTTTTTTGCATTCAATAGCCTAGTCTTGAATTCGCTTAGTCGCGTCCAACCACGCAGCGCCTTAATCGAAACAAAGCGTGTTGTCTATAAACATACGGTAACATCTTAGACTACTCTTGAGTAACTTATTTTATTCTATTTTGCATGTATCACTCATTCATGCGGTTTCTGAATCTGTTTTATATTTACCATCCCGAATCAGAGTATCTCTCAATGCATCAGTTTAAGCAAAACGCGTATTTTTTGTTCATCGAGGCTGATCTCATGTTGCCTAACGAACGTTTCATTCGCACATTCCTCCTCTTACTTCATAGTTCTGGCACATTGATTCGGTCACTCACGGCTCATTCAACCTCGACTCTGGTTGCCCGGAGATCGGTCCAGTGGGAGTTTGGCCTCGCATGCATAGCCTAGATTCACCCGATAGTAAATCAATCCGCAGGTTTTCCGATATCGAAGTTCAGTCCCGTGTTATCACGGATACGGATATCACAGACTTGGTCTTTCCCATCACGTGGTCTGCGCTCAAACGAATTCCATATTCTTCCACATGTGAGGCCTCTCTTCCCACCAGCACTGCATCTCCAACCTCACCATCTGGCAAACGCACACGTTGTATTCTTGTGTGGCTCACAGCTGGCCAAGATGGCATGGTGTTTGGACGTCAAGTGGTTCTTCCACCTCCAACTTCCGACAACGGCGACGATGATGAAGTCGCAAAGCGTCCGAATCGAGATTTTCCACCTTGGCGCTTTGATTTGGCCGCTCATCGACCCTGGGTGATCACTGACGCGGACGTGGATCCAAGTGGTCGGTGGCTAGTCACATCTTCCACCGATAAGACTGTCAAAGTGAGAAATTCATCTGGTGTTATCGTATCGTGGACACAGTTCTTGACTCCGGTCATGCGATCCTTAATTATCTTCACTGTACTTCCATCTCTCATTATACAGGTGTGGTCCTTAGCTTCCAGCAATATGGTGTTCGAGACAGACAAGCATCCTGCCTGTGTTCGTGCCGTTTGTTTCCGGCCCGTATTGGACGAGCCCGAAGACTCCCCCGACGCGGACTGGTATTTTGCCACTGGAGATGACTCCGGTGTGCTGCGCATCTGGCGCCTCTCATCGGACACGTGAGTCTACCATCCTTAACTCAGCGTTTCTGAAAATTCCTCTGCTCGTTTTTGTGGCATATTGTCATCGGAATGGGCGGATTCCGTCTATCACAATCGGTTGAACTTCGGCCGGTTTCATTTGGTAGACGGTCTTCATCGAATACCTCGGCTACTATGAAGTAGATCAGCTTCTCGAGGTGCTTAATGCGCAATGTAGGTGGATTGCTGTGTGAAGAAATCGTGAACGATGCTTCCTGGCCGTTCTTCACAACCTGCTTCAGTTGTACCAACCCAAACTCTTTTCTAACTTTGATGTCAGCTAGTTAATGGTACCATATGGGTGGAATTTTCGCTTATCATAGGCCTCTGCTATCCTCTCTCTCTCATCGTCATTGTCACTAAATTAGCGCGCAGCTTGATGTGTATATCCCCATTCGGAATCTTGCTGCGCATGCGCCGCTTGGTTGACGGCATCTGGTTCCGCATTTGCCTGTCACTGTGGCCACCATAGGACAGCCACAGGACGCCTGCGCCTACAGAAGGACCATGAGCAGCTTACGCTGCATCGTCCAGAGCTCCATCCACACACCCCAAATCCAGTGTAAACACGAAGGAGTAAAACCGGGAGGCATACGGATGGGAGCCACGTCTCATCAACTGAGCCGACCTGCATTTCTTCACAGGCAAACACAAGCACGCTTATTTGGATAATCAATCACACACAAGGCGGTGGCTGGACCGTAGTCCACTCCACACTGACTGCATGGAACCGCTCTTCGAGCCTAGCACGACCACAGAGACCGTGCACCCCGTCCCCTCCAGCAACGACCAACTGTCTCCTGGAGCCAGATGGACAAGGTAGTGGGTAATAGACAGATGAGCACGTTGTCCATAGGCACGTCAAGTACACCCACATCGGGGATGTCAAGCAACAGCCAATCACATGAAATGAAATCTCGAATAAAATAGATCAAATATACCGTACGCAAATGTCGCTAAATTAGCATATGAAATGAATGGGTTATCAAAATAGCCGTGTTAGATACAGGATGGCACAAAAAGCGATCAAAACACATATGTAAGAAGGAGAACAAAATAAGCAAAGCTAAGCATAATCAATTTAAACGAAATGTGCAGTTAAATATATTATTCAGGTACACATTGAAATGAGCTAACAAGAGAACCACCTGAAATAAAGAAACTCAGCATGTAAGCACGCGGTTAGTAAATAGAATGCAGCGTACCTACCAACGCTGCGTCGGTTCTGCCTACGTTCTCAGCTGGTCCTGAATGCGGTGCTGATATATATATATATATATATATATATATATATATATATATATATATATATATATATATATATATATATGAGATAGACATAAGGCCAGCGAAAATCATGAAATAGAAGTACTAGATTCAGAGACCACAAGGAGGAGAATAGGATGAAGGTCTAAAAAGCCTTTTTGTTTTGAATCTTGTTTGTCTTTTTTGTCCACTTTTTTGTCTGTTAAAAGTTTGCGATGTAAATCAAGACAAACATTTTTACATATTTCCCATTGGGCTCGGTTCTGCGCCATCTCCAAAAGTATTTCCAACCAGCGTCGTTCTTCATCTTTTAGCTCCAGCCAGGAAGACGCACGGGACCTAGGGTAGCTAAACTGGAAGTCCACGCTTTACTCGTTTGCCGTCACGTGATAAGCTGCCCACCGCGCAGTTTTCTTCAGCCTCCTCCTGTACGAGCGAAGAGAGCACATCGGGGCTACCGTTTGTATGGCTTGAGTATTTTGTGACTTAAATCAGTAGGGCGATTAACACCTGTTTCTGCAGGTACGCCCCCGCTTCTCTACTCTTGCTGGTACGAAGCTTGTGTTCCAACAAACGTGTTCTCACTTTATGAATCTACCCTCTGTGTTTGTGCAACCGGATCGATTGCTCGATTGTCACGTCCCACACCCTCCCGAACATCCATAAGCTTTTGGTGATTCGTAGGCTTATATGGTGTCAGTCATCACACGGTTTTAGATCACAGCACTTCCGTTTTGGACCCCGACTGCGACCCGGAAACAGGACCTATCACTTACATTTCACTAAGTATCCATACTCGTTACCGATCTAGCACCTTAGGTGTCGATTGCGCAGTTGGCCTTTTACCGACAAAAATCGATTTCAGCGTGTTTCCCCAAGTCTGGTTATTGTGATCCACTTGTTCCCTCCTTTTTTAACCTCTAGCTTGCAAGACGAGAATGACAATTTGGATTTCGTCAAACAACTCAACCGTGCTGTCAGTCCCGACACTTACAGTCTTGCTCGACCTGGATCTGTACTCGCCAATCATCACCCGGTGCGATATCTTCATCGTTTCCCCAGTCCGGAGATAAATCAAAGCGGCGTCGGTGTTTCCGAGACACGTACTGCGTCTACACCACCGCTATTCAGTTCCAACGCTGCTGGGACCGGTGGCTCGTGGCTTCGACGACTAGTGTGGTCTCCGGATGGGGCGCTTTTGGCTGGCCTCTCTGATCGGTTGTGTGTTTGGCCTTTTGATGCATCCAGCGTGGAACCGATCAAATCTCGCGATTCTCGGAACCTCCAAACTTTGTCCCCACTTGATCGTATCGGGCTTAGGCGTGATTCGGCTCGGCCTCGCCACCCTCGACGGCAAGCCAAACTGAACCGCTGTCGCGTTCTGCGTGTGCTCTCTTCCGGTGTCAGTGATACCCAAAACTGCTCCTTGAGTCTACTCCAAGTAAGCGCCCGCCGAACATGTCAGATACTATCAAACGGGGCTCAGTCTTCATTGAGTGCGTCGTTTCGACCACTGTCGCTCCCTCCAACGCTGGTCACGGTGGACGTTAACACTGGAACACTGTACATTTTCGATCCTATTGGTGCCTTATTCTTGTCCCAAATGTGACACTCAGTGCCGTCGCTCCTCCTCCCCATCACCCACTCATGCGCGTGTTCTTCAACCTCGCCAGTGGTGTACATACTGGATCTGATGATTCTTCGTCCCACGATGCTGTTATGCTGACGCCTGTGTTATCTCGCTTCTATTTTTAATAGGTTTTGTTATATACAGGCGCTCCTCCATATGTTGTATGTCTCCTCCTATTTTTGTCTTTAATATTAGTCTATCGGATGATCGACTTATCTCGAGGTTGCCCATTCGAACCGCGCCATACTGAGCATGTCATTCTTTGAACAAGCCACGCGATTAGTTCATATCGGTGAGATATTCTGTGCTATGATAACCGGTACTGCTAGCAAATGCTGCTCTCATACATTGTTCGGTACATAGTTATACCAGGAAGAGCGGACGTAAAAGGTGACTTTGCATGTGGTACATCGTGTTATGACGAAGTTTCTGATGGAGGCCATAAAACTAGTTGCCCTTTACGGAGGATCTCGGTCATAGTGCATGTATAAAACCCTCGGTTAGGATAATCCATTTGGTTGGCGCAATCATTTCAGTAATGACCGTATGTCTGCCACTGACGGTCCTGGCAGAAGTGGGTTCCGGCGCATTGAACAGCTCATCATTGACAATCGTCCCAGAAGTTGTCGGGCACGGTAAGCTTGTTTAATCTTTCGTTAGGGCAAGTAAACGCAACAATAGGTCAGTTGGTGTTCTTTAACAATGTGAGCCAGGTGAGTTCTAAGATTGCTTTTCACTTTCGACCGGCACAGATGACTTGATCTGCACTTATGTGAAGGGCAGTTATGATATGGAAGTCCACTATTTCCTGCATCACCTCATCACCACCTGTTAATCCTGATGTAGCCTCAGGTGATTTTAGACTATTTGTATTCCTGAAAGAATTTCCTGTGCCAAAAGGAAAGCGTGCGCTCTTAAACCGATTCAAACGTACTGACAGATGCTTCTAGCTGAAACCTTACAAATATTTTCAAAAGGTCGGAGTAGTAGTTGTATGACTTCAGCAAGAGATTATGTCCAAATACATAATCAGAAATCCAACTTGCGAAGAGGTGCTCACTTTTCGATAATTCTCTTCAGGCAATACATTTACAAGGTATAAATCTACTAAGTGTGTTAGTGAACGCAATAATAAGGTGAATAAGGAAAGCGATTTGAACAAAGCTTGTCTACTCAATCAATACTAACATCGATCCACTCACGGCAGGTCTCGTGACAGCCAGTGGGATGAAGGTCATCCGCGTTTGCTATCAGCGACCGATGCGAAGGAATTCCCACCCGACCTAGGTAACAGGAGGACTTGGACGAGCCCTTTGTTTTCACATTTCTGGCTGAGTCGCACTGACTGCAATCGCTACAGCCGTCTTTCTGAGGCGCTTTCTAAGCCCTTTAGGGTGTTACTTTTATACGGCGTAGAAGACTGAATGAATCTTCTCTCCGTATCACGTGGTTCTTCTTGGGAATCCCGAACTTGTTTCTGCTGGTCGTGTGCCCAATATATCTTACGCCACAGGTGCAAGTAAATTGATAAAGAAGCTATGCTTGGGATTGAACCGGTGGTCTGTCCTTAAGTCGTTGGGTGATAAACACAGTCCTCTGAGCAAGAACATGCAGGTAGGCGGTTAGGTAGGCTTTGGCGACTGCGGTGGAGAGTCGTCTGCTCAATAGATCGAAAGCGACATCACTTCTGAAAGGAACTGAGAGAGAAACGTTTTTCTTCCGTGCAGTCAGAACAGTTTCTTGGCGCACACGGACTGTGGTCTGTTTTCTAATATAATGATCGGGGTCACCGTTATCTTGCAGCGTACGAAAAAATGCGGTCCTTCTCCTTTCCCAATGCTTCCGGGCTACAGATTTTGGCGGCAAGGTAGTACAAGCAACTGAACAAGTTTTGTTTGTCCTTCAATGGTACAAAACTTAGAAAGTAGTTATACTGGCCTGCCTAAATAGCCTTCCGGAAGACGCATTGGCATTACGTCCAGGAAGGCTAGTCTGCCATTGTTTTCCATTCCACTGGTGAAATGCAGCGAAGTATGCGTCCCGTTGAACTGAGTTGGAAAAGGAATAGCATCGATGTTTGAGTCGTAGACAAGAAAGTACCGTCCATGTACCTCAAGTATGCATCAAGCCAGGCACGGATCGATTGCGTGGTCTGATAATACTGTACAACAAAACCGGATAGCGGAGGAAGTTTTTGATGTAGTTCCCAAACTTGAGTTTGGGGTGTTCTATCAGTTAAAAATAATAAAAGACGGGGAAATTGATAGTGGCAATACATGTAGGTATGGACGGCTATCCGTGAGAACGTTTCCTGAGAGCCTGATTCCAAGTGCGGTAGCCCCCTCGAAAGGTTTCATTCGCACTTTCATGTTTCACCTGACAATGTGTTAATATCGCTTAAAATAAGTTTTTACGGCTTTATAATTAAGTGAGTCGTTGCCGCTGTTATAAGTAATTAGAACGTTATCATCTCGACTCCTTGTTGTTTTGGGTCGCTGTTACGTACTACACGCTCCCACCCTGCAGCCAATCCCACTCTTCAGCTGATTCCGGTCCTGCACTTTTCGTATTCATCATTGGGTACGTGGTAGTTCGCCTTGCGTGGGTTTACTGGTTAGCTTGAATGTCTCAATCCGCCACGTCATTAGATCGGCCCAGTCGAAGCTAACAATCGTAGAAGATGCAAAAATATAGTTATAATGGAACAATGGTATATGACGGGTAAAAAAGCATACACTTCACGAGTCCCGCAGGTTGGCAATAGAAATACTAACAAATTGGCAAACCACATAAGTAGTTGAAGTAAGGAGCGTCAGTGAGATAAAAGGTAGAAGTATAACAGTTTTAGGGGGATAAAGTGGTACGACGCAAAACTGGCTAAGAAATTGTTATCGTTGGTGATGGTAGCAAATAAAAATGGAGTACTCACCGGTTCGCACAGATTTACGACCGTGAATTTGGGGTATAAATCCAAAGAGGCTGGTCAGCCTAAATATATACAAGCGTTTGCGTTCATAAAACAAAGCGCAGGGCGCTCAGTGCGACGTCCAATCGTTTTTTAAACGTATGTAATGTGGGGGCACAAACAACTGAGTTTGGAAGGGCGTTCCAGGGCCCGCAGACCCGGAGGGAGAAATAGGTTCTCCGACAGTCTAGACGACTGTACTGTTGGCTCAGCTTTAAACTGTTACCGCGAAGGTTAGTGTTCGAGCTGAGCTTCAAGAGGTGGCGGCATACGTTACTGGGATTGTTCAATATCTGGTACAGTAGTATGTGGTCTCCACGAAGTCGCCGGTACCGTCTGCTGAACACTCCGAGTATCTCCAGTCGTTCCTGGTAAGGAGTGTGGCGCAAGCCCTTGACGATTTTCGTTGCTCGACGCTGTGGGGTCCCAAGCGCTGCTAGGTCACGTTTTAGCCAGGGTTGCCAGGCCTGGATTGCATATTCGACGTGAGGACGCACGTAGGCATTCAGCATCAAAGAGAAGATGGATGGATCCAAAATTCCGAATGCTCTTCGCAGGAGTCCAACCTGCTGGTTGCCCCTTTTAGAAGCGGAATCTGACTGTTTGCAACACCCGAGGTCTTCCTGTACCAGCACACCCAAGTCGCGTTCCTGAGTGGTGGTCTTCAGATCGTGTGCCCCAAGCTTGTAGACGTGGACTTGTCGATGGCGGATATGAACAACGCGACATTTGTTCACATTAAACGGCAGGGCGTTTCTCACCGACCAATTCCAGGCCTCATTCAAGTCACGCTGTAGGACTTCATGGTCGTCCGATCGTTTTATCGCCCGCCAAACCTTGAGGTCGTCCGCGAAGAGTAAGAATTTCGACGTAATAACTCTTACTAGATCGTTAATAAAAAGCAGGAACAAACGAGGCCCAAGTACCGAACCCTGCGGTACGCCGCATCCCACTCGAATCGGATCGGAAAAGGATGATCGAACTCTAACTTCTAACTGCCGTTCAGAGAGAAAGTTACCGATCCATCCTAACAACGGGTCTCCGATACCGTACTGTTGGAGTTTAATGAGCAGGATTCGATGATCCAGGCGATCGAAGGCTTTCGAAAAGTCCAAGAATGCAACATCGATTCCTGTTCCCTCATCGACAGTCTCGGTCCAGTTGTCACGAGCTATCAGCAGGTTCGTCGTACATGAACGATGTTAACGAAACCCATGCTGTTCTGGCGCAATTATGCCGTAGTTTTCCAAGTATCCCATTAACGCATCTGCTATCACCGCTTCCATGACTTTGGCGATCACAGGCTGAAGCGTTACGGGGCGGTAATTGGCAGGATCCGATCGACTTCCTGATTTGTATATGGGCGTTATTACACCTTGTTTCCACCTCGAAGGTACGATGTTCTCATCGAAACAGCGCTGAAAAAATGCACCTAGTGGTTCGGCCAAGTGGATGGCAGCTACCTGTAATGTTTTCGGGTGAATGTTATCGGCCCGGGAGAGCTGTGTGGACGCAAGGATAGCAGCTTTTGCAGCACCATTTCTGCAGTGAACGTGACGTTGGATAAAACGCTCGGTGGGGTAACTAGTGGCGGAATATACGTCGAGGCTTGTACACCTTGGAAGATTGGGGAGTACTGGGCCCGTAATGCGTTGGCCGCCTCCTTCGCAGTATGCGTATACCCATTGGTCGTATTAAGTGGTGGGATTCCCCGTTGCACCTTGCGAAGTCCATTCATATGTTTGTGAAGAGGCTTTTTGTTCGAACAGAATCGTTTGGCTAGCTCCTGCTGATGCGTTCTCTTGTCTTCGCGAACCAAAAGCCCACAGTAGTTGCGATGCGAAACGTATTCCGTCCAGTTTTCTGCACTGAGGTTGCTTTTATACATGCGCCATGTCCGATCCCTTAGAGTCATGCATTTTCGCGTCCGGCTTCGCAAGAATGATTTCGCTGTGCGGGGATGTTGGGAAACTTTTGGTGTTGAGGCTTCTATGATTAGTGACGTGATGGTGTT